AGGTTCTCCGTCGTTAGCTCAGCCAACGGCTTCTATTCCGCGGTCTAGCAATACCCCAGGTGCGCGTTTTTCAACGTAGCTATCCTTCTCTCCAATCGCAAAGAAACCCGAATAGACGGCGCTGTGATAGTACTATTATAGGTCGGGGCTTGCTTTTGCCGACTTGCCGCTGGCTCTCAGTAGGATAGCTCACAGCATGCGAGATGATCGCATTGACTCGATAGGTCGATATGATCTCATGTACAGGTAATTTTACACTTCGAAAAGCTCCGCTTGTTACAGGTTTCCTGACGTTGGATGCTTGATAACGGATCGGTTTATGAGCATTGGTTTGGCGACGAAAGACCATAGACAAGATGGTTAAATTTTTGCATATATACGTTGCTGCTCCCTTGAAGGTACGCGAGATAGCTGCTCTTGCCATCAGGCGAGCAGACTTGGCAACAATCCAGCTAAGCTTGATAGCTGGCTGGCTGGCTTGAGGCTTGAGGTATTCAATCCAGCCAGCCAAACTGTTAGCAAAAGTAGAATCAAGCCAGCAAGCCGCAAGCAGAAAGCTTGAAGGCTTGATAGGCTTGATAGGCTTGATAGGCTTGATGTGCGGGCAGGCAGGCGGGAGATGGGGGCCGCGATAGGGCGTGAGGCGATTGATTTTGCAGTAAAAGCTATCTCACGATACTTTCTTGGTGTTGAGTTTTTATCGATTAGTACTAGCGCTCCGCCAGCCACCCAACGCGTTTATCCCATATGCTTGCCCACCTATCTCAATGTTGAATTCTTCACCCACAATTAGTTCTTAGAGTTATTATTTCTGCCTCACGATCACCGTCGCTATGCCGCCCAAACCTACTAACAAAGACGCGAAAAAGCGCACAAAAGCTGGCCCTTCTGGCCCGAACAAGCGCCCTCGCGGCACTGCCAGCCAGCCCATCAATGTTGACTCCCAGCAGCCATCTCAATTGCCACCTTCTCCTTCTCCTCCACCTCCACCTCAACCTATTACGAACGTCCTCCAAGCCCTAGCGAGCGCGTCCCAGGCCCCCACATTCGAAGCGCGCGTTCGAGAGTCGCGACCCGAAGACACCATCGTCGCGCCCG